GATGTACAAATGCGCTTTACACAATTGATGTGTGTATGGATTGGGATAACAATTGTATGAGCCCCTAATAAAACGCAATAAATAAATAAATTATTAAAAGCAAAAAAAAAAGAAAAAAAAGAAAGAACATGGTCAATCTAATTAAGCAAATCTACAATGAATGAAACTGAAATGTTATTTTAAAGTATCAACTAAAAAATGTTCACAAACCAGTTCAGCATCATTTGGTTTAGAAGACAAAGTATCACTAACTTTCATTTATTCAACAAATTTAAAAATAATAAACTTAAAAACTAACTTATGTCCTGCCTGTCTGTCCATTCTTTATATATTTTTATAAGTGTTTCAATGGTCAACAGTACATTTGAGCTATACATTTCTTCTACTTTTGCCCACTTCTGCTGCAACTGTTGACAGTGAGCAAAAATATGCCAAATAAAGGAGATGTAACAAAGCATAATCAGGAGATTCTGGATACGTAAAAACTGTACATTTCAGTAAGTCAGGAAAAGAAAACATGACACACAAAAAAATGAAGAGAGCACCCAATAAAATATTTTAGTTAAAAAAACAAACCCCAAAACACTGATACAAGCTGCCACATTTTATTCTCACAGCTACCCTCACCTAGTATCAAAGGTTCACAAAAACAATAGTTATCATATATCCCACTTAAAAAAAAAATCCCACTCTTTAAAAGACTAAGTTTCACCTTGACTTATTGTGAGACATGAAAGTCTCATGGTGAGAGGTGACCTGAAAAGCAAATGTTCTGGTGAGCCCCCCACCCCCCGCCCCAAATTCCATAGTTGCCTTCACAACGTCCAATCAGTAACTGGACAGGGGCTTGTCCATATACTGCTTTTCCAGCACTGTCCAAGAATCTACTTAACAGCAAACTAATTTAACTTACTTTTAAAAATTCTAAATCAGTTCTATGGGATAGTAAGACAAGATGAAAGTTGTTTGCTTTCTAGGGCATTTGTTCTGTATTAACAAAGAAATCTTCCGTCTCTAATTCCCATCATTTTTATGGTGTGTTTTTAAGTGGAACACAAGCACAAATCCTCAAGAGGAGGATTTTTTACTTTATATTGAAGATAAATGAGATCTAGAGATAGTCCCTTGGATATAATCAATTAGTACATGTTTTTCAAATATAGGGTTAAGGTCTCATATTTTATGTCTTCCAGTTACTTAAAGTTGTAAAAGATGAACATGAGAGTAAACAGTATTAAATGGCATTTATTAGTACAATGGCAACTTCCCTCTTAGAGAATTGTCTTCTATGACATTCATCCTCCTAATTCTTTAATGATTAAATATTTGTATGGCGAAACGTAGCATAATTATGAAGAGCCTAATCTCATACTACAAAGGATATATATATATAACCATCCTGCTATACTTTTCTTATGTAGCAATACAAAGTCTTGCTAGCCCTGTTTCTAAGGAACATTAGGCTGTACTTATTCTAAGACAGATTGTTTCTTTTTTGGCAGTTGATGGAACTTTCAATATTCTTCGCCAGTCCCATTATTCAAATTCATCAATTCTTCTTTGGCTTTCTTTATTCAGTGTCCTACTTTCATATGCAGATGAGGCGAATATAAATCCATAGCTTGAGTCAGGCTCATCTTAGTCCTCAAAGTAATAATATCCTTGCTTTTCAACACTTTAAAGAGGCCTGGTGCAGCAGACCTATCCAATGCAGTATACATCATTTTATCTCTTGACTGCTGCTTCTATGAGCACTGATTGAGGATCCAAGCAAGATGAAATTCCTGAATCGTCAATCTTGTCTCTGTTTATCATGATGTTACTTACTAGTCCGGTTATGAGAATTTTGGTCTTCTTTACATTGAGTTGTAATCCATATTGAAGGCTGCAATCCTTAATCTCCATCAGCAAGTTCTCCGGGTCCTCTTCACTTTCAGCAAGCAAGGATGTGTCATCTGAACATTAAAGGTTGTTAGTAAGTCTTCCTCCAACATGATGCTACATTCTTCTTGATATAGTCACGCTTCTCTCATTATTGCTCAGTATATTGAATAATTATGGCAAGAGGATACAACCCTGATGTGCACCTTTCTTGATTTAAAACCTTGCATTATTCCCTTGTTCTTTTTGTACAACAGCCACTTGATTCATGCAGAGGTTCCAAATGAACACAATGAAGTGTTCTGGAATTCTCAAGGTGTGTTGATCAATAGTTTGTTATGATCCACATAGTTAAATGTCTTAGTAATTTTAAATAACAGTAATATTAAATAATATTAGTTAAATGCCTTAGTAATATTAAATAATAGTAATATTAAAAAAAAACCCAACCAAAACAAAAACCATTAAGTAAACATCTTTCTGGTATTATCTGCTATCAAGGAAGATACACCTGACTTCAGCAATGAAATTCCTTGCTCAGTCTTCTTCTGAATCTGGCCTGGATTTCTGGCAACACCTTGACAACACACTACCACACCTTGTTGTTGGATGATCTTCAGCAAAATTTTATTTGCATGTGCTATTAATAACACTGTTCTGTAACTAGTGCATTCTGTTGGGTCACCTTTCTTTGGAATGCTTATAAATGTGGATCTTTTCCAGTTAGTTGGCCAGGTATCTGGCTTTGAAATGTCCTGGCAAGGACAACAGAGTACCTCCAGCGCTTCATCAGCTTGCTGAAACATTTCAGTAGGTATTCTATCAATTCCTAGAGCTTTATTTTCGGTTAATATTTATAGTGCAGCGTTGACTTGATCTGTTAGTTTGGGCAGACTGGGGAAACAAATCCACAGAAATTCATATGTATTTAAGAGCGTTTTATATAAAGGATAAGTGTACATTAAGAAAGTATCTTAACCCAGTGTTGTCCAAGTCCACAAGTCCAACATTAGCCCATATGTCCAACACCAATCTGCAAAGTCCTCCTCAATCTCAGAAAACATATGCAATGATGCTGACTGCAGAAGGAAAGCCGAACCAGTCAGTGTGTAAGCATCTCAGCGCTGGCAGAGGTCTCCACACAGGTGCTGCAGCACCCAGGGCTGCATCAGGGTAGATCCATGTGGCTTCTCCTCAGGGATGTCTTGCAGGAAGTGAGCCTTGACAGCTGAAGGAGGGAACTGGCTACGGCAGCTGCACCCTGGTCCGACCATCAGAAAGAATGCGACCCGAGAACTAGAAAGCCATTATCTCTCCGCCCTTCAATTAATCCCAAGTGTTTATTGGACAGGTTGGCACAATAAACCTTAACTATCTCACGCTCCTTCAGTACCACTGGCTCATTGCTCATATGCTACTCGTTGAAATGGTGGGATGTCAAATAGTTCTTTTTGATACAGTGACTCTATATTCCACCAATTTTCTCTTGAGGCGTACCACTTTGTTCAACATTTCACACATAGAATTTTTCAATTACCACAGGAGGCTTCCTTTTTTTAGTTCTTTTAGTTTAAGATATGCTGAGCGTGTGCTTCCTTACTGGTTTTCTAACTTTAGTTCTTTGCATATTTGAATACTTTTATCTTTTTGAGTTGCCCTTTGAAATTTTCTTTTAGGTTTTTCGATTTCATCATTTCTCCTATTTGCCTTAGCTACTCTACACTTATAAGCAAGCTTCAGGATCTACCCATCCACTTTGATCTGTTTCCAGTCTTTTTAATGATCCTTTGCTTTCTTCATGTATGACTTTCTTGCTGTCACCTCAAAGCTCATCAGGTCTTTTGTCATTAGTATTCAATGCATCAAGTCTATTTTTGGTATGTTCTTGAAATTCAGAGGTGTTGAAGAAGATACAAAGTTGTATTTTGGATCATGTGGATTTGTTTTAATTTTCTTCAGCTTTGACCAGAATTTACATATAAATAACTGATGGGTCTCTTCCCCAGTTTGCCTCTGGCTTAGTTTTATTTTCCACAGGTTGGTATTTTCTATTGTTTTTCCCCAAAGAGGTCCACTTGATTCCTGTGTATTCCATCTGGAGAGGTCCACATTTATTGTCCACTTGTGTGGTTGAAAAAAGGTATTTCCGTTAAGAGGTCATTGGGCTTGCAGAATTCTACTATGACTCTTCAGCTTTGTTTATATACCAAGGGCAATATTTTTCAACTACTGTTTTTTTTGTTTCCAACTTTTGCATTTCAACTGCCAGTAATTTATCAAGGCATCTTGAATGCACTTTGATCACTACCAGACTGAAGACTGGTAGAATTCAATTTCTTCATCATCAGCTTTAGTCGTGGGCACATAAATTTGAATAGTTGCCCTGACCGAATTTCACTGCATGCACATTAAACATACTTGTTAAGTGCCACGGAACTGATTCTGATCCATAGAGACCTTAAGAACAACAGAAGGAAACACTGCACAGTCCTGTACCATCCTCACAATTGTTCTCATGACTGAGCCCATTGTTGCAGCCATGGTGTCAATTTCCTCTTGGAGGGCCGCCTTCTTCCTAGCTGCTCCTCTATCAAACATGGTGTCCTTCTCCAAGGTTTGGTCTCTCCTAACATGTCTAAAGTATGCAAGACAAAAATCTCACTATCCTTGCCTCTAAGAAGCACTCTGGTTTTACTTCTTCCAAGATAGATTGGTTTGTCCTTTTAGCAGTCCATTGTACTTTCAATATTCTTCTCCAGCAGCACAATTCAAATGCATCCATTTATCTTTGGCCTTTCTTACTCAAAGTCCAAATTTCACATAAATAGAAGGCAACTGAAAATATCACGGATTGAGTCAGGTGCATCTTAGTCCTCAAGGTAAAATCCTTGCTTTACAATACTCTAAAGAGGTCTTTTGCAGATTTATCTAACACAACATGTGTCCTTTGATCCCGACTGCTGCTTCCATGAGCATTTAGTGGATCCAGTAAGATAAAATCTTTGATTATTTCAAACTTTTCTCCATTTATCATGTTACCTACTGGTCCAGTTGTGAGGGTTTTGGTCTTGTTCATATTGAGTCTTAATCTATACTGAAGTCTTCAATCCTTGATTTACAGCAGTAAATGCTATGAGTCTTCCTCATTTTCAGCATGCAAGGTTGTGTTATCTACATTTCACAATAAGCCTTCCTCCAATCCCGATGTCACATTTTTCTTCACGTAATACAGCTTCTCTGATGATTTGCTCAGCATACAAACTTAAGTATGGTGAGAGGATACTACCCTGTCACACATCTTTCCTGATTTTAAACCATGCAGGTTTCCCTTATTCGGTTCTTTCTAGTGCCTCCTGAACCATGTACAAGGTCCACATAAGTAGAATCTATGTTCTGGAATTCCCATTCTTCAATAGCTTATTATGATTCACAACTGAATGCCTTGGAATAGATGATAAAACACAAGTTAACACCTGCTTTCAGCCAAGATCCACCTGACATTAGCAATGATGCATCCTTTGTTCCATGTCCTCTTCTGAATCCGGACTAATGCTCTGGCAGCTCCCTATCAATGTACTGCTGCAACCATTGTTGGATGATCTTCAGCAAAATTTTATTTGCATATGATAATGTTTTATAGTTTAAGCATCCTGTTGGGTCACCTCTCTTTAGAATGGGTACAAATATGCATCTCTTCCAGCCAAGTAGCTGCCTTTCCTGACAAAATTTCCTGGCATAGAGGAGTGAGTGCTTTGAGTGCTTCATCAGCTTACTGAAACATTTCATTTGGTATTCCATCAATTCCTGGAGCCTTGTTCTTGACCAATGCCTTCAGTGCCGCTTGAACTTTTCTTCAGCACCACTGGTTCTTGCTCATATGCTACCTTCTGAAATGGTGGGACATTAACTAACTCTTCTTAGTACAATGACTCTGCATACTCTCCATCCTTCCTGCTATTAGAAATTTTGCCTGAAGGATCTTTCAATATTGTCACCCAAGGCCTGAATTTTTTTCTTAAGAGTTTTCAGCACTTTTGGTGATCTTGCTGGTATTTGGAGCACCCGTGACAATGCAACACAGGAACACAAGCCACCGCAGTATGACAAACTGACAGAGAATGGGGTGATCTGACTTGGTAGGGTGCTTAAAAAAACCCCCACAAAACACCAATATAATGCTTTTTGCACCTTTAGAAAAATAAATCCTCGCAATTTTGAGATCAGTGCTATTATGCATTTTAAAACAAAACACAATTGCACATCTTCCAAAATCATTGAACCTTTGCAACAAGATTGTAGGAATGCTGCCCCATGTATTTTAAAGAAGGTCTGCAAGACCCCAGAGATGAGCCAAGAGAGAAGAACATCAACCTCAACAAATAAGAAAAGTACCTGTAGTCCTGCAGTCCTGGAAGATGACTACAGATTTCATTGATGCAATAGCTACTGGTTTGGTATTTTCAATTTTAAGTTATATCTTAACCTTAAACAATTTTTGGCTCAACGAGTGCTAAAAGTATTATGTGAAAATCATCTAGTTCAAAGAGTTGATCTTTTCAGCTGTCCTTTAACCAAGATCAAAACTGATAAAGATGATTTTATATAAGAATCATGGATGAGATCCCAGAGAAAGGTGCAATAATAATAGCTACTTGACGGATTTACCAGATGGCCAATTAAATTCGAGGCAGCAAAGTCAACTCAGAAAATCATGGCAACCCCCCCAATTCCAAAGAGATACTCTGAATGTATTTTCTGAATTGACACAGAGCAATACATTTTAAGAGAAGTGAAAAATGCACTGACGAGAAAAAGGTCAGGAAGATTATGTCAAGGGATCTTTTTCCATCTTGACAATGCTACCTTTAAGAGCAGCAAGTAATGTCCTAGAATTCATTAGGACACCTTACCCCATCTACTTTACAGCGCAGATCTTTTCCCTTCAGATTTTCTTTTTGTTCCCCAAACTGGGATAACATTTCAAAATATACAATTTGAGTACCCCCAGGATGCCTCGACTGCCATTTTAACACGGTATAAATCAAAGTACACAAAATTCTTCATGAAGAGTTAGAGATGAAAACATTATATTCAGAAGTCTACAGACAGAAATGGAGGATGTGATGACAAGCAACAGTTCTACATTTTGATATTTTTGTTTAATAAAGTTTTACAAGAAGCCATTTTCCACTTACTCGCATATAGAGTATCTCTCTTTAAACTATACCACTGGACTATTCTGACAGGACTGAACATCCTAAGTGGCCTATGTAAAGATGACTCTGAAGGACCTAGGCCTACTTCACCTTAGTCACTACACTCTTAAGATGCTAATGGACACCTCTCTAGTTGTTGTGTTAAGGGAGGCAAGATATGACAAAATAGCAATTTATAAATTATCAAGGGCTCATGAGAGAGGGGGGAGCCGGGAGGGAGGGGAAAAATGAAGACCTAATGCCGGGGACTTAAGTGGAGAGGAAATGTTTTGAGAATGATGAGGGCAATGAATATACAAATGCGCTTTACAAAATTGATGTATGTACGATTGTGATAAGAGTTGTATGAGCCCCTAATAAAACGATTTAAAAAAAGGGAGGTTAGCAACACTTGTGTAAAACAATCTACATTAACACAATCCTGATTTTTAACACTCAGATTAAAATGGATGGTAGTGGAAAAAATGTGTTTTTTTTAAAGATCATTTTACTGGGGGCTCTTACAGCTCTTCTAATAATCCATACACATCAATTGTATCAAGCATATTTGTACATATGTTGCCATCATTATTTTCTAAACATTTACATTCTACTTGAGCCCTTGGTATCAGCTCCTTTTTACTCCCCCTTCCCCGAAAATATGTTGACTGCCCTTCAAATGATGTTTAGGAAAAATGCTTAGCAAAATTAGATTGGTGTTAGACTTTTTGTGTGTGTTCAGTAATATTTTATAGTACGTACTAATTTTCCCTCACTAGTAACTGACAAGTGATCGTTATGTTCACACTATCTTAAGCATCTACTTAGTAAGTCTGTGTACTTTAAATGTTTAGAACGTATACACGAGCATCCATTTCAAACCTAGGAAGGGTATACAAAGCTGAGTCACTAAAGCTGAGTGAAATTACTCATTTAATACTTTAACACTATCCCTCAAAATACACTGGGCTTTACATTATGCATTCTATGCAATCAAACTTTTATATTTCATCATGTCAAAAAAAAAAAAAGGTCTTAAGTAAAGTAACATACTTGGATGAATAACTAGAAAAATTTGGTTGACTCTGAGAGTGAACATGCTTGGTAGGCTCTGAGAGATGACCAGTAGAAATGTGTGCAGGTTTGTTCTCAAAACTTCTTCGGTCAAAGTATGAGAGCTGTTTTCGATAGTATTCTTCATCTTCCTCTGGATCATAATGATTTGAACGAACAATATCTTCAGGTGGCTTCAGTTGGGATTTTTGAGGTTCTGGTATCCTGGAAGATAGAGATTGGGAAATAGAGCTTTTCTGATATTAGTTTCACAAATAAAATTGAATACATACACCTATTTTACCTTGTTGCCTAGACTATTTAGGTTTTAGCTGAGCCATCAAACAGTAGTCAGAGTGGATACCCCAAATCCCATGTCCTCATGTATAACAATTAAAAGGTAGGCCCATTCCAGGTTACTCGTCCATTTACATAAGCTTTCTGATTACCTAGTGAGGGTAGCTTAAATAGTTCTCATCAAATCAACTATTACTCATGTGACCTCCATGAGTCGGAGCAGAGCTGTGTGCAAAAGGAGTGTTTTCAATGTGGATTTCTCAGTAGTATATCACCAGGCCTTTCGTCTGAGGTACATCTGGGTGGGCTTAGCAGTTAAAAGTCCAAATCCATTGCCACTGTGTCAATTTCAACTCATAGTAATCCTACAGAGTAAGGTGACCAGATTTTAACATTGGTAAAGCGGGACACCATTGATAAAACTCATATCCTGGCGAAATAGCCACATGGTAGCTGAAAACCATATACCCTAGCTTGTCGTGCATGCTTTCCAAAAATCGGGACTTTTTAAAAACGCCACGGGACATGGGCAAAATTGTTAAAAAGCAGGATGTCTGGTCACCTTACTATAGAGGGCTTCAAGACTGTTAGGGGAACTGAGAGCCTCATCATTTTCCTAAGGAATGACTGATGGGCTTAAACATCAACGTTGAGGTTAAACAACCCAACACCTCCACCTGCAAGTTAAAAGGGCTCCTTCTATAGCAGGGTAGAGTGGCTAATTAGAAAGAGGGAAAAGAAGATAGTTGTACAGTGATTTACTTAATTTGGTTCTTCTAGTCAGTTTTATTTAATCCAGCTGCGAGTGATTGATAAACTATTAACTGTGATGGTAAAAACTTCAACTCTATTGTGGTTAGCCAATTTTGCCTGCCTGCTGGGTATAAGCCATCTTAGAAGTGGGATCTTACAACCATTAAAAAAGAAGAGCCTGGAATGGTGCTCATCTTTTGGACCCTGATATTCTTCTACACTGAAATTCTTCAATCCAGAACAGAAAGTGGTGAAATCAGAGAACAGAAGAATGAAGAGCCTGACCATCAGACAAGAACGGTGGGCTTTCTGGTCCAGGGAACAAGTTGAATGCCTCCAGGTACTTAACATATATACTTGTGTACAAACTGAGTTTTTCAGATTTTTTTAATGCAGTTTTTGTGGCAAAATTAGGTGCCTCAGCTGGTATTCGGGTTGGCTAATACTTGAGTATATATGGTAATTAGGGAACTTAACTTAGTGATTCACAGAGCTTGAACTGAGCACTTTTAGGCAGAGGCTTATGCAGGAACAACATGACCTTGGGCATTTATTAGTAGCACTAAAAGAACTGTGCAGTATTTTTCTACGAGGACTGAGGCCAAGGACCAAAGAGAAGCCTTATTGTGGGGATACCGGATTGAGTAACTGTGTCTTATGCTTTATCTTGGATTGTAAGCTGTTAAAACTTCCGCAATAGAGCCCATAATACTGATATGGTCTGTGAATTCTGTGTGGTCATTACAATTAATTACAGAACAAAGCTGAGATGGAGAGATTGTTGTGGCAGGGCTCTTGGTGTTAAAAAAGGGTGGCAGGAAGATAGAGACATTATCTGACTCATGCTTCAGAATCATCTTGGGGGCTGATTTTCCTTCCCCTTTGTGAAGTAGAGGACTAATTTTAAAAACTATTTTAGAAATCATTTTATTGGGGGCTCTTACAACAATCCATACACCTATCGTATCAAGCACATTTGTACATGTTGCCAGCATCATTTTCAAAACACTTTCTTTCTACTTGAGACCTTGGTATCAACTCACTTTTTCCCTCTCTCACAAGCCCTTGATAATTTATAAATTGTTATTATTTTGTCATGTCTTACACTGTCCGATGTCTCCCTTTACCCACTTTTCTGTTGTCCATCCCCCAGGGAGAGGGTCACATGTAGATCCTTGTAATCAGTTTCCCTTTTCTACCCCACATTTCCCTTTACCTCCACCTTCCTGGTATTGCCACTCTTACCACTGGTCCTGAGGGGTTGATCTGTCCTGGATTCCGTGTGTTTCCAGTTTCTATCTGTACCAATGTACATTCTCTCGTCTAGCCAGATTTGTAAGGTAGAATTGGGATCATGACAGTGGGGTGAGGAAGCATTAAAGAACTAGAGGAAAGTTGTATGTTTCAGCATTGCTACACTGTACCCTGACTAGCTTGTCTCCTCCCCATGATAATTGGGGCTCTTACAACAATCCATACATCAACTGTAGCAAGCACATTTGTACATATGTCTCATCATTATTTTCTAAACATTTACTTTCTATGTGAGTCCTTTTTTCCAAACCAGCTTTTTGCCCTCCTCTCACCCTCGTGACCCCTTAATAAACTATAAATTACCATCATCTTCATATTTTATACCGACCTTTTCTCCCTTCCCCCACTGTTTCTTGCCCCTTCCCCCAACCCCTTGATATCACTACTCCCATTTCAATTCCTGAGGGGTTTATTTGACCTGAATTCCATGTGTGCTGAGCTCTTATCTGTACCCGTGTACATGCTGCGGTCTAGCTCAAAGCGAAAGGCAGGATTGGGGTCATGATAGTGGGGGGTGAGGAAGCTTCAAGGAACCTGAAGAATATTGTGTTTCACTGTCTACAGATGCGTTTTGGGTCTCTGCTCCAACCCCCCCTTGTTCTCAACAATGTTTGTTGTTCTGGGTCTTCTGATGCCTGTTACCTGATCCTGTCAACACCCCATGGTCGTACTGGCTGGTGTGCTTCTTCCTTCTGGGCTTGTTGCTTCTCTGCTAGTCACTTGTTTAATTTCAAGCCTTTAAGACCCCAGACGTTGTATCTTTTGATAGCTGGGCACCATCAGCTTTCTTCACTCCATTTGCTTGTGCACACATTTTGTCTTCAGCAATCATGCCGCGAGGTTAGCATCACAGAATGCCAGGTTAGAACACAGTGTTCTTGTGTTGAGGTAGGGCTTGAGCAAAGGCCCAGAGTCCATTCACTTCCTCAATGTATTGCCATGCAAATGTATGTACATAGGGCAATACCTCTATTTCTATGAATTAATATATTTATATAAGGGCACACCTATATTTATATCTCTATCCAAAGCTTTGCTTCCCTAATCTTTCCTCTGTTTCCTTTTATCTTCGAGGAGGTAATTTTTAACAGTAATGAAAGACTAAGTCATACATGTAAGTCATGTCAGCAATAAGTAATAACTGATAAAATGTATGAACTTTAAGAAAGAATAGTAATGTTGATTAGTAAATGATTCTGACATGAGTCAATAGCTCTATGTAGTCTAACATTTTAAAGGTCACAAGAAGCAGGGAAAGAAAGTGAGTAAGGTCATTAAGTAAATAAGTATATGGTTGTATTTAATAAACTTGAGGAAACTTAAGTTTAGGTTTCACACACACACACCAACCCCTAACCCCTAAATGACAAGGGGAGATCCTAAGCTTTCAATTATTACAAAATTTATTTCATATAGAACAGTTCATCTGTCAATGATACTGGCTCAAGAATATATCGAGTTTATATTTTTAATGAAAGCAGGTAGTTAGTAAAATAAGAGTAAATTTTTTGCTACATAATAGTTCCTTTTAAATATAAGCAAAGATCTATGTTCTTATTTTATTCTACAGAAGTGCTTATCACAGGGACAAGTATATGAAGCATATACTTGTAAACAAAGTTTACTTTAACCAATTTAATGATTTTTTTATCTATAAAATCTTGGACTTCGTATGTCTCAAGGTATTTTTGAAATTGAAAATACAAAACAAATGTTTTTAGGTACTGTTAAGTTGGTTCTAATCCATAGCAACTACATAAAACAGAATGAAAGACTGTTGAGTCCTATGCCATTCTCACAATCATATTTGAGCCTATTGTTGAAGCTACTGTGTCAATCCATTTTTTTGGAGGGTCTTCCTTTTAAAAAAAAAAATCCTTTTCTTTACAAGCATGATATCCTTTTCCAGGGACTGGTCCCTCCTGATATTAAGTCTCAAGAATGGGGGAAGAAAAGAAGGTGAAGCATGACATGAGATGATGTCCTCTGGCTTAATTTATGTATTTTTTGGTTTAAAAACAGACATCCAATCATATTTTGCTTAGTTATGAATCCAAAGCTTGGTGGCATCACTGTTGTTTAGCTTTCTATGTAGCGGAAGTCTGATGCCCAGACAAGGAGTGAGCAGGTCATCCCCAGTTCACATTCTATAACCTTGGCCTTTACCTATGAACCACATTGGGGCAGAGATAGAATGGGGCTTTTTCTTTTCAGTTCATTGTGCTGCTGGGAATTTGGACACAAAGCCTCAGAAGAGCATTCTTTCTTGTTTTGCATGTTATGTGCAGTAGACTCCCTTTGCTGGCTTGTGCAGTGGTGCTGAAAAAATAAGTGACCAGACACACACTGCCCAGGTGGGACAGTGGATAATATAATGATCAGCCCCACCCTTTTTAGGAGTGGTAGAACAGTGTGCACCTCTGCCTCTAGGTCCCCAGAATCCTTTGGTCCCTGGCGTAGGGACTAACTATAGCACAGGGTATAAGTACCAATGTGGTTTGTGAAATATGTGGTCTTTCTAAGGGTCTAATGGATTTTTTGCTTAAGTTTGAACCCAATCCTAGTGCCAGCTGATACTAATAATCAATCTTGAAGATAAATTAATGCTTTATTAATAAATGGAGGATCCTCCTTATGACACATATTCGACTTCCTCATGACCTTTTTTATTGACTTTGTATTTTACTATGTGTGTCCTTCATTTTTAATCAAGAGAGTGAATTTTTTTAAAAGACAATTTATTCTTTTGGCAGTCCATGTTACTTTCAATATTGCTTGCCAAGACTGTAATTCAAACACATCAGTTTTCTCCAAGTCTTTCTTTTTCATTTTATTCGACTGCTGTTTCCATGAACTTAAAATGTTTTAGTTATTTGCTAGGAAAAAAATCATTCTGAAACATTTGTTTTCTGAAGGCTTAACAAAGACTTATTATCGAGATATAATAAAGGACTTCATTTCTCTTTCTAGGACCCTTTGTTTTAATTAGAACAGTGGACAAATCTCAAATAATAAGACTAAAAGGCTTTCAACAGACTAGTCAGGTCACACTCTTGATCAATTGCCTACCATCAAACTCCTCTGAAAACCATCATTCAAGATCACCCACCTGTAGAGTGTTTTGTCATGCTCACTGAATTGATTCTGAGTAGCAGACTTGGGACCAACGATGGGAACACTTGGAGGTTTAGAGGCCACTTCTGGAAGCTGCAAAAAATAAGACAAACATGCCTCTGAAGCAAAATTACAAATCAGTCTACATTTAAGAAGCACACCTTGAAATACTTTTCACTTAATGATGCTTTTTGTATCCAAGTGAAGACATCTTTACCTTAAAACTTGTGTCAGTTATATCCTTCTTGCTTTCTAATGATGTTGACCTTTTGTTTTCAAACATTTTAACTCTAGTAAGTACAGACTGTGGTTTCATTGCTGGATCTTCCTCTTCTTCAGAAAGAGCTGGAGGTGGAGGCAGTGGTTTGGTATTTGAAGGTAGAATTTCTGTCTTCTGTTGGGATGAAGGTATTAGAGGGGCAACTGCAGCACTATGGAGAGGCTCATTATGGCCTGCTTTGGAAGTAAATCCTTGTGATGGTACTTGCTCATAACCTGGGGTGTATTGATCAAAATACTGTTTGGGCTCAGAAGACTTAGGACTTGCCGAAGGATAAGGCTGTGCTTCTAGTCTGTACCTGCTATGCACATCATACCCAGGAGTTGTCTGCTCTTCATGTCGGAGTGTAGAGGTTTTAGGTGGTTGTTCATAGCGTGGTCTGCTATCATAAGACAGAGGAGCTGGCTCTTCAAAACGTGGGCAATACCCTAGTTCAGAGGACTCTTCAAGATCCTGTCTAGAATCCAGGTGCCTAGGATGGTGATTATCAAAAGAAGGCTGAGGTTGGTAGGACTGTTTATCATCATAATACATCCATTGTTCTTCATATGCAGGAATTCGATCTTCATACCTTAGATGATGATCATAGTTTCTAGGAAATTGGCCTGTGTAGCTTGCGGTGTCATATCTATATAGGGATTGCTCAAGGTCTCTGCTGGCTTGCTTCTCTACATTCAGGAGCTGGGGCTCATAGCTCATAGCAGGCTCTTTGTCTGGCCTTCGTCCTGGGTGACCAAGGGTTGGCTGCTTCAAAACATGATTCGATCTCGTTATTTCCTCCGTATATGGATCCTTTCTAAATACCTGTATAAAAAGTGCATGTTTAAACACAGATGCTTATTTTTAAGTTCAATCTATGTTATCATATAAGCTTGTGATTTGATACAAAAAAATTGCTATATTCCATCATTTACTACCAGTAGAGACCAGATTAGTAAAGTTAGTTAGTTTAGGTGAAAGCTTAAAGTTGAAATTATAGATTAAGTATTTTATATATTTTAGCATGTATTAAATTAAAAGCATGTTAAAGATAATTACTAGCTGTATAAAATTAATGCAGTTAGCTAGATTTTGACATAGAAAATAATCATAAAAATTTATGGACCCCATTAATTTATAGAAAAAGATTTGATGGATCTCAACTACACATTAAATAATTCTGGAAGATATAGAAATTAGAAAACCAAAACTAAAGCAGCTATAAAGCAAAATTATTCAGCATAATTCCCAACTAAAAGGCCTCTTCTCAAAGAATCCATATACCACCAGAAGCCATGCAAACTACAAAACTGAAATAATCTGTACTGATTTGAAAGCATTATGATGTAAAAATCCACAATTAAAAAAAAAAGGCAAAAGGAGCACTTAAAGGGCAAAGCAAAAATGATTGTGTGCTAGAGATGGAGAGCAACAAATCAGTGCAGCACTGCAGCACAAGTACCTTTGCTGGATCTACATGCGACGACAATGATGGTTCTTGATCCCTGAGCATTATGTGAGCTGCCTCAGTACTTGGTGTTCTTAAAGAATCAGCTTGTGGTGAGTAAGAGGTGGCAGGAGCTGGGTTTGGCTCCTCCAGTTGGACATTAGTAAAATTTACATTATGATTAACAGCAGAGGTTGATGATGCTGAGTTTGTTTCAGAAGGCGAAAGATAAGGGACTGGAGATGAGGCTTCTGCTTTCTGTGAAGTGTTTAGAATATTTTAAACATAGTGTTTCTGTTTACTAACTTCCCACTTCAACTTACTAGTGGTAGGCAGGCATACATTTTAAGTGTGTTGAATAATAAGACTGACTTCATGTCCTAAATTTACTTAAAATTCCAATCCATATTGCTATATAATAAAAACAAAAGTTTAGAGCTAAATCCCTGGTATTTCCAAATTGAAATTTAAGATTAGTTTTCAATATAAAGGACAAAATATATTAACTCAATCACCACATTTTAAAATTTAATAATGCACCTCTAACTACAAAACGTTGAATACTTGCTGCTTACCTGTTGAGAGGCTGTTTTAAATCCAGGGGAGTCTATTCTATGAACTGGCTGTGGCTGAGCTTGTGGTGAATAAGGAGGATATGTTTGATTTTCATGCTGCATTCCAGCGGAGTCCTCTCTTACAGGCTCAGAGGACCGTGTAATGGCAGACTCCGGTGGAGTCCCAACCTCATCATTAAGAGTTTCATCTAGTTCTTGATCAGTGTAGGCCCCGCCTTCTGTATCTGTGTCTTCATAGTCAGAAGTGTGTCTACTGTCGGTGCTATACATTGAGTATTCACTACCTGGGGCTGACAGGTAGGAGAGGCGATCATCATGCAAATCAAGGTCATCACTTGTAGCACCATCCGCCTGGGTCAAATAAAAGTAAATTAAAAATTTTATTCAGTAGTTCTTTAAGAGATGGCCTTTACTTTACAAGGAAATTGGAAAGAATATTTTTCTTGGGAGAAATCACATCTGTTTCAAATTTATGACAAGGAAAGGTCAAGAAGATTGCATAGGCACACATGCAAACACATATGAGCATCCCTCGAGGTCTGAAGGGCTTAGATGAATGAGATGTTGGTTGGCTGGCCAGACAAAGCTGAACTCAGGCCTAGACCAGAAGACAGTGAAGGAACTGGTAGCACTCAGGTTTACATAACCTCGCCAAAAGCATTTCAGTTCAAAGCCAGAAGAGGGAGAATGCTACTAAACTAAATTCACAGAAACAAAGACACACTAACAGAACAATGCATGTGAGAATAACTACAAAAATAAAAGTCACAGTTTAAAGTGAGTCAGATCTAAAAGATATTTAGAGAACATTAAAAAAATTAACATCTGAACTTCAAGCTTTTATAAAACACAATGAAAACGTGTTACAACTAAGTAGTGGCTGCCCCATTAAACTAGGAAGATTTTTCTTCTTTATAATTTTATTTATTAGTATACAATGGATGAAGAGAGAAAAATGCAGTGATGCTTCTCTTATATAATCAAGAGTTGAGCTAGTTTTTAATTGTATACAGACCCTTTGCAGAATAGACCAGAAAGATAAGTAATATTTGAAGGAACATAAAGTTGCAATCATAGGGTTGTCACTGAATTATTAATTTGGAATTAGTGACTGGATTACAAAAAACAGTCCCTGAAGATCATGCCTGGGCACTGTGGCTAGTTTGGTATGAGAGTCGAAGGATCTGGAATCCAGGGAAAATACCTCTTTTGTTCAACGTGTGCTGAAGGACAAATATAAGGTTCTTGTCCTCTAGCGAGATGCACTGTTATTCAAGCTTGTTTTTTTTCCTGCAAGTCGGATGTGTCAAGAACATGGTTCAGGAGGCGAGTCACCCGAATGGAGCTTTCCATGCAGTCCCTTGCTTGTTTGTCTCTGTAAATGTTTGGTCTTGAACACTGCCACCCTGATACAAAAGTGTAGGCCAGTGGTTTTCAATCTGTGGGTCGCGATTCCTTTGGGCAGCGAATGACCCTTTCACTGGGGTCACCTGATTCACAACTGTAGCAAATTGACAGTTATGAAGTAGCAACGAAAATAATTTTATGGTTGGGGGGTGGTCACCACAACAAGAGGAACTGTATTAAAGGGTCGCAGCATTAGGAAGTTGGAGAACCACTGGTCTAAGCTGTGTCAGGCTTGCCTGTGGCTCTAGCTTTCAAAGGATCACCTGCTGGACTGGGAGAGTGAGAATTCCAGGATTGTGTCCCATGTCACATCAGAGGTTTATTACACAGAAAGCACTCTGGCTTCTAAACTCTATACTGGCTACAGCTGAAGGGCAATCTTCTGGCTATACATATTAATTTTTAAAACTTGCCAGGGTCTAGAAGGCTAGTGGAACTAGGAAATTATTTAAGGCTTTAGGGGAAAATACCTTGGAACTCACTATTCCTTCTAGATTTACAGCTACTATGAAATGCACAAGTGAGCAAGAACCATGTATTGCTTTGAGCCAGGAAAGGACCCATTTCTACTACATGTTAAGAGTCTCAAGAAACTTTGCCCCATCATAAACCCCCATTGTTAGTGTAAATAGTGCCTAGTCACTTGAGAGTATAATCTTTGTAAGTTAACAATTCAAAAAATGCAGTTCATAGTCAGACTAAACTTGAATACTTTCCTTTTCTCAAGAGTGTGTTAAATTCTATACCCCTGGATAAGTTAAGGACACTATCCATAGGATTTACCTTATGTCCCAGGGGGATGATTGATAATGTTCTCTATCATAAAATAATAATGAGGATTAAAAAGTGAACCCAAGACATACATAATCAATAGACTTATGAATCTATTTTGGGTTTGCACTTAATTTTAGCCCCAATCTAAGAATAATTAGTTCTTATGAGCTTGGTGCTCATCTTCATGAAGAGATCACTGAAAATAGGGGTGCTTACAGCCAACTGTAGTGATGAAATCAGATGGTGTCTGGCTACCAGGAAGTATAGAGTCTGAGGTCTTAAAGGCTTGTCTTAAAGCAAGCAACCATACAATTGAGATGTCAACTAAGTTCACAAGGAAAAAGGACACCAGCTTGTATGATTGAAAGATTATAAATAAAGATTCAAACCCAAAGGAGGGAATGGTATCAGAGCTTAAATTGTAAACACTTGGTTTTCAGAACGCTAAAGATGAGAACAGAAGCCCAAAATCCATTGGCAGGGTCCACACATGGATTAGGCCTTTGGTGAATCCCCTCTGATCCAGGTCGAGGAATGTGAATAACCTTGCTATCAAAGAGCACAATAAACTCAATTATGGCAGATACAGTTAAAATGCAATAATCTTATCATTTGACATCTTTGGATCCATATTTAAGTTGTTTAACATAATAATAAAAGTGAAGGAGAAATACACGTAGATTAAGCCTTTAGTGAATGCCCTGACCATAGACCAATGTTGTGAATAGCCTTGCTTTCATGCAGAGTGCAATGGAAAATAGATTGTTGCAGAACCAGCTATGTTAAAATCTAACATTTGGCCCATTTAAAATTTGTTTTCATTTTTAATATTTTCTGTTCTTTGAGGTTTTTTTTTCTGGTTAATTTTGTTACTGCTGTTGGGTTATTTTGTTGGGCGGCAGCGCTGTTCTTTGTGTGTAAATGAAATCCAGGATAGATATACTATAGAAATAATATAACTGAATCAATGGCTTATTGGAGGTTTAAGAGGGGGGTTGGAGGGAAATGGGGAGCTAGTAATTGAGTATAAGAAGAAAGAAAATGTTCTAGAACTCACTGCAGTGATGACTCTTTTTTTTTTTTACAAGACGAAAATTTTAATGAAATTTGGTTACGGGGCAGTAATAACACACAGGGCTATATAGTTTACACAGGATTGTAATAGAAATTTAAAATAGATGCTGTAGTAAATGTTACTTATTGTCATAATCAGATCAACTTCCTCCTTCAAAGATTCCTTAGTATACTTCTCTGCTTCTCCCCTCAAATCTTTCGGTACAATTTCATGTCTTCCTTTGGTTAATTCACCAACCCAGCTGAGTTCCAGTTCAAAAGCTTTATCCTTAACTTCATCATGCACTCTGTAGACTTGCAACTTCTTTAACATCACGGCATGTCATTTCCTTCATCTGAAGTTTCTCAATTTCTGTTTTTGCAGCTTGCCTCGCTTTACCCATAGCACAACCCCAAGAACCGTAAGAAACACCTGATGGATCAATCATGTGGGGTTGTGCACCATCATTTGCACTCTAAGACTCTAACCTAAAACTGCAGCCAAAAGGCCCGACCCACTGTAGAGTGTATATGTAAGTACATACATGGCCACTCTGTCTGCAAGATGCTTCAGTGGGATGTTATAGCCAAAGTTTGATCTGAAGTTGGAAGCTTCTTCTCTTGTTATGTCTGCTACAGAACGAGCATCTGCCAACAACCAGCAACTGCCATTCCAACAGGCCGGTCAACCTTCAAAAGCCATTTGTTGGAACCTTCTTCATAAAGTTTAGAGGACTAATTTCTCTATCCCAAAGACAACACCACCTTTACACCGGATTCCAATAGCTGTACTACTATTTTCCAGTCTTCATAGCACATGCCACTTGAAAAACTCTCCCATCAGGTGAGAATGTAGAAGCTGATATGTCATACTCATTCCTGATAGAGCTCATCGTGCTTAAAACAACCAGAACGCTTATGACTTAGTGACCTAAAGCGTTTCCTCTACCCACTCTTTTT